GGTGTTAGCTACCATGCCCAGCACTAGTTATATAATTTTATAACTTTAAAAAGATACCAAGTCATGGTGACATGCACCTGTAATTCCAGCTACTTGGGAGGCTGAGATAGGAGAATTGCTTGATGCCAGGAGTTCAAGCTCAGCCTGGGCAGCATAGCAAGACCCCATCTCAATTTGGAAAAAAAATACAATAAGGAATTTTTAAAAGACATTAGAACTAGTGGTCAGCATCATGTAGATGGCCTTTAGTGGTCTGTCAGGTAGACCTGTGGTGGTTTACCCACAGCCTTCCTTGGTGGGTGGGCTTCTTGTCCGCGTGCATTCCACTGCATTGCCCTCGCTTCAACACTGGGTGTGACTGTTTTTTGCTGACTACTTAAAGTAGCCATCAGCCCACCTCTCTTACTCACTTTCTTTTTCTGCCATCAATTATAGTACTGGAAAGCCTGCTGCTTTGGGAGCAAAATTAAATATTTTATTTTCATTTCTGAATAAAACCAGTGATTTCCTATATAGATTTAAAATGCAGAATTTTAAATAGCTATAATGATCTTTTCGGTTCCCAGAGGTTGGAGCCTCCATGCAGAGCATTCCTGAATCACCTTTAGGACAGCTTGCGTGCATTTTTGAATGTCACATTTTGTTTTCTTGAGCATAGCTACATAAAATAGGTTAATACTGGCATGATTTTGCAATTCTTTTATATATACTAGACAACTAGGGAATAGTTCAGATAAGCCATAGTCCAAGGCAAGTTACTGTGTCATCAAAGAATAACCTTTGATCTTAGTGCACTTGTACTTAGAGCAGCCTAGGTTATTGTGTGGTTGCCAGAATCTGTGTCTGAAGCTTCTTGGTAAGGTTGGAGAATTTTGATAAGATTAAAGGTGTCTGATTCTTTGTTTTGTGTGTGTTACTCTCCCAAGTGTTTGCCAGTCTTCAGCGCTACATTGGTGGCTAAAGCTTAATTTATGGCCAGTTCACAGAAACAGGTTGGACTTTTGCTAATGAGCTGCCAAGAGAATAGTTTGAGTAATCTCTTCTTTTTCTTCTTCTTAAAAATGAGAACGGCAGCTGTCGGCAGTAATTTCCTCCAATTTATCACTTGCAGAGAACCTAATGGCTTACCACAGTTTGACATCCTGGTGTCAGCCTGGTAGAAGGCTCTTGGATTTCAAGGTAGTCCTTGGTATTTGTTTTAATAGTTCCATGTTTTTCTAAGTCAAAATCATTTAATATAAACAAATCATTAAGACATATACTTTTTGGAGAAGTTGGGACAAATCATTATTATCTAGCTGATTACTGAATCATCTTTAATGGTAATTAACAACACAACATTGAACATAGTGTTTTCTGTTAACTCAGTGATTTTCAGTCCAGAGTTTCTGAGTCAGTAGGTCTTGGATGGGGCCCAGGGATTTGCATTTCTAGCAAGTTCCCAGGTGATGCTGATGCAGCTGGTGGAGAACCACATATGGGCTTAGGTTCTGTGCTTCTGAGTTGTATATCTGAAATGAAATTCTTCAGGGACTAGCAAGCCTTAGACAGTCTAGGATACAGTGTCATACGTCCTTGGTCACAAGAAGTTTGGAGGGTGGCTTTTCGTGAGTGCCATACAGCACATGGGTAACAGAAATGGGATGGCTCTTTGGATATTAAGGCATTGTGTAGCCTGTGCTGTGTAGCCTGTTAAAAGACTGCACTGAAATTACCCAGTGTGCTGAGCAAAAGACCCTAGAGTATGCTGTGCTTTACCCTTGAATCTTCCCAGACTTGTTTAATAGCCAGGATAACCAGCATTGCCAGTAGTATACTCTTAGAATGTTTAAAAAAAAAATGACAAATTCCACAAAGGGTAAAATTTGTTTTATGGCGTCGAGAATTGAACTTGAGTTACACAGTTTCTTAGGATAGAATTCTGGTGTAAAATTAGCCACTGTATCAAATGGGAAATTCAATTTTAGTCTTTGACAGAGTTAATGTCAATCCTTTCAGAGAATAAGTGGGAAAATAGCATTTCATCAGAAAGCTTTAAGAAATGTGGTGGGACTCCTGCACACAGTCTTGAAGGTCTTTACCACGTTATAACCATCTCAGATTTTCACTAAAATTGAAAGAATGTTTCACGCAAGTGTTAGTCCAAGTGTCTTTTTGATATCTGCAGATGAAAGTCCTTCTGGGAGAGATGGTTCTTCAATACAATGCACAGTGATGGAACATCCTTTCATGTATTTATCAGCATTTCTGCTTGCCTACTATATTTCCTCTTTTGTTAAGATGAAAACTGTCAAGTTAGATGCTCTGTATGTGAAGTATTTTATCACATCATTCCAGGGAGTCATTGCAGGCCCTTTGGCAGCCAGTTTGGATGAGGCATGCATGCAATGAAATGTTTTAATTTTACTTCAAAAGGGCAGGGATGTTACCAGAGCAATGGTTTCCAAACAGCATGGCATAAGGAGGGTGGGAGGCCGTTGGGAGAGTTTACTTTGGTTCATTTCTGCAGACGCTCAGCTACAGTTTTAGAGTTGGTTTCACAATTGCATGGCTCTTTCCAGAACTGCAGTCTACCATGTCACACACATGGTTGGTTTTCATGTTCTTCCAGGGTTTGGGGCTGTTCAGCCCTCTCTAAACCCCAGACATTGAAGGTGGAGGTATAAGGGAAGAGTGAGAAATGCTATTAATAATTCTTTTGCAAAAGATTTCTATTTAAAGTACTATTGAGTAAGCAAACAAGATAGTGTAGGATTGACTAAATTAAAAAAATCTTTTGGGTATTTTAGCTGAAAATGAATTTGTACTTATTTTAATAAAATAATATTTAGATCAGATGAAATATTAGAGAGCAAATAGCCTGTATATTGCTTGATGAAAGATAATTTTAAAAAAAAAGTTTTAAAACATCTACGTGGTAAAAAAAACTGGAGAAGCCACTGTTTTCTTTTTAAGTGTGATCCTTTCTTGTATTTATAGGACAATAGATTTTCTAAATTTGTTATCAAGGTAACTTTAGAAATGAAACAAAATTTTAAAAGAAAGAAAATAATTACAGATTCAAACTTGTGATTTTACTATATATCCCTCTCCCTCACAGCAAGGTAAGATGGTGCCCAGGACATACAAGATTAATTCAAATGGCATTTTCAGTTGGCTTTTTCTAAGAAAGTCTCTAGTTATTTCCCCTGGGCTTCTCAGTTCTAGTATCCTTTAAAGTTTAAAAAATAATAGTAAATCAGAATTTTGAAAAGCAAAGCTCAGTTTCCCCAAAGCCATTGGTTTTTGTTTTTTTTAGAGGGGGGTATTTTTATTCTTGGTTTAATGACATATTTTACAAAGATATAATCACAGTATAAAATTTTATGCTTTTTAAACTTAAAATTGTATCACAAGTTATTCATGCTCTGAAGTTTTCACAGTTATTTTGATTGTTTAATATTATGTTGAAATTTTGAGCTGTAATTTACTAACTCCCACATGTTTTCGAATCTTGAGGTTGATTTTGATTACTGGTATATTTGACAGGACAGCAATGAACGTACTATTGATTCAATTTTTGTTTTTAAAGTCAGGGTAAAATTTTTAATTATTTTTATGGTGCTTGTTATGATTCATTAACTTTTAAGTTTTTAAAAATTTGGTTTTTAGAATTGGGAGACTATCTCTAAATTTACTGAATAAAGAATTGAAAATTATATGCAGCATGACAGTGTTGAGCTTCCTAACCCAGGAGTAACTTCCAGGCTCTGGTAGGCAGTAGTAATGACAGCTAGGGAACCTATCATGCTAGGTGCTTTATGTACCTTTTGTCTTCTGGCATTGCAGGTAGTATTGATTAAACTGGGTAAAATAGCTAACAAAACCAGAATAGTACACTTGAGCCTAAATTAGTGAACTAAAAATAAATTTGGTTTCTTAGCCATAGTATTTGGTTTATTAAATTGTAGGCCATACAACAAATTCTCAAACCACAGAGTACCATGACTTCATTTTTTTCTGACATGAACAGAACAGTGTTGTTCATGCTGATGGTTCCATTCGTAAACTAGCTCATGCCCTGCTTGGCTTTTGAATGCCTGGTAATAATGTGCCTTAATTGCGGGTCAGTGAAGCCAAACTAATTGCTTGTTGGGCACTTGGACTGCCTTTTTAATTTGCTGTATAATGTAGTCTCTACCAGAAATGCACAATGTATTGTTATCTAAGTAAAACTCATTAAAATCATCTTACAAACAGCAGAATGCCTGATATTTTGTCCATAATCTTGCAAATAAAAGAAAATTGAATGGCATTACAGAGAGTTGTAATTTACAAGTGCTCTTTTAAAAATGCCTTTGTATCCATTTTGGAAGATATACATATAAAATGACTGCTACGGTTTATATTAGTGTGATAGTTTTTTTTTTAAACCAAGAATTATTTTGCTTTGTGCTTTTATTATATTTTAAATGATGATAATGATATGGGCTTTTGAGACAGTCACTTATTTCAGACTATGTAGTTTACCCAAAGAGATTAGCATTCATCCCGTGACTCTGAATTTCATTAAAAACAAAGAAACCTATGCTCTTTCTCAGCTCACTGCCACCAATCATAAGGGTTACTTTTATAATTTGTGGGAACACTTGTTCACAGATTGGTAACATAGTTAATATTTGTTTACTTTCAGTTTCCTTGGACTAACTTAACAAGGCAGCTCTGCACAAGACTTTCTTTTGATTCTTTGATTACTAATTTCTTTCATTTAGCTAATATTTATTGAGCAGCTACTGAGTGCCAGGAACTGTGGTAGATGTTAGGGATACCAGTTTGTTTTTCTACTTATGATAAATATTTGGCCCAAGAGAAAAACCTCTGAGATGAATTTCAGAGCTTTAGAAATGATTTTAGAAATAAAGTAATGTAATCAAGGAGCTTCTATTAATACTAAAAAATTTAATAAATGCCCATATAGGCTTTTTAAAAGCAATTAATCCATTACCTGTTTCTTTTTGTAGATTATTTCTTATGAGGGTCATGGATATCCCCTATCTAAACTTGGAAGGACCAGACCGTAAGTAAATTTTGATTTTCTTATTGCATCTGTACATTTAAGTGTGTGGTCTGGAAGGGATAACTAGAAAGGTATTACTAAAAAAAGCTTTTTTCACTTAAAAACGGCCAGTGATTTTGTGGTTGTTATGAAGACTCTGCTTAAGTTAATGGGACCCTTGGGTCTTCATTAGTCATCTCTTTAAATATATTTTCAGTATATGCATTAATTAAATTTTTTAAAAAATCTTCTCTTTATGATTTCATTTTCACTCAGAACTCTTAATTTCATTATTTTCTATAAATATTTATAATAAATTTTAAGATATATTAGCTGTCAGTAACTTGGTAAAATTTCTATTTTCCAATTACTTGAGTATATATTTGAATTTAGTATATATATTTAATATATATACACTATATATATACTTAATATATGTATATACTTAATATATTTAAATTTAGTAGGTTGATTTTTTTTTTTTTTTCATTTAAAAACCTCGGAAGGCCAGTCTATTGGGGAGGCAATTGCTTCTTTTTTTCTTCTGTTTAATCTTCTGTTTTGTTGCTCTTTTTCTGTCCTTGGTTTATTTGCCTTAATGCATGTCATGGCATGTAGAAATGGGTGAACTGTACTTGGTGATGATAATTGCTGCAGTGATAGTTTGAGGATATACTCTTGGCTTGCCCTCCATATCAGACCTACATTTTATTTTAGTCTGTCGTTCTCATGAGAATTTTGCACACTAAATATTACCATTCCCAGTTTATAGCCAAGAGTGGTTAGAGTGGTTAAGTCTCTTGCTTAGAGTTCCACAGTTAAGTGGTGGGTGTGGGATTAGAACACAAGATTGTGACTCAAGATTGCCTCTGCTTAAAGACAATTAGTCCATTTAATTTGGACAGTGCTTTTTTTTTTTTTAACTAAATAAATATGTAGAAAGATTAAAAGGAGAAAGTTAAATGTGTAGTGAAACTTTTTGAACAGAGTAGCCTTTTTTTTTCCTTTTGAATAATTGACACAGGAACTTCATGAAAAGAGATGTTTCTGCATAGAATTGCTAGGGCTCAAATTGTTGTGAGTTCTATGCTGCTGTCCCCAACCCCCGGGCCACAGAGCTCTGCCTAGCCACACCCACCCCCATCCTTGGAAAAATTGTCTTCCATGAAATTTAGGAAAGCGGAGAGCACAGCAGGAGGCAAGTGAAGCTTCATCTGTATTTACAGCTGCTCTCCATCGCCTGTTGACATCATTGCCTGAGCTCCACCTCAGGCCCCCCCACCCTACCAGTAGAAAAATTATCTTCTTGAAACCGATCCCTGGTGCCAAAAAGGTTGGGGACCACTGCAATCAGAACCTGAGGTCTAGATTACAATGACAGAATCCTAAGAAGTTTAGGAGTTGTTAGTTTCATCAGAGAATCACTAGTTTACTTGATCACTTTTCAACTATCAGCATTACACCAAAAATTTGTCTCGTAGTGCAACCTAAACGTGACCATGTTCTCCATGTGACATTTCCCAAAGAATGGAAAACCAGCGACCTTTACCAACTTTTCAGTGCCTTTGGTAAGTAAATCATAAGTACAGATTACTTTTCAGGGTTTTGCTATTCTTTTGGTATAGAGGTAAATAGCTTTACCACAAGCATAAAAGAATGTTAATATTTCAATCCTGTTGCCTTTGAGGTAAAATTTAAAAAATGTTGATATTCAAGGTTTTAATTTCACTCGTAGAATTTTTTTGATTTAGGATTCTAGCTTTGTGTTAATATGATCTGAGGAACTTTTTTTTTTTTTTTTATTTCAGCATATTATGGGGTACAGATGTTTAGGTTACGTGTGTTGCCCTTGATCCGAGGAACTTTTAACAGCACCTCACGGTGAAATGCTATTAATTCAGGGAAAGCAAGATACCATTACTATGACTGCCCTTACAACTGATCAGGGAAAATCAGCCTAGGGTGGGAAGAAATCACTTTTAAGATTAAATTCAGAGAAAGTGTCTGTTTCATAGGGATAGGTGGTCCCTGCTTGAGATCAAATAATCAAAGCAACAAACAGATGTTTGAGCAGATCAAGATTTGTGATACAGATGAGGTAGGGCAGTTCTTCTCTGCCCTTTTTATCAGGACACACAGGTAGATTAATTTGAGTAGTCTTCTGATTAGAAGTTTTAAAGACCATTCTGATTGGAAGCCTGCAGCAGTGCCTCTTTATTTTAACAAACGAAGTATTTAAGCTGTCCTCTTCGCAAATTCTTGAATTAAGTGAAGGCAACAAAACCTAAATGTCCAATAGTAAGAATGTTTAGTAAATGTTGATGTATCTCCCCAAGGGACTAGTATGGAGCCATTTAAAAAATATTTGAAGAGTTTATTAAGAGATGGTAAGGTGTTTATATTTTAAAATTTGAAGTAAAAAGCCGATATAAAGTAGGCTTCCTGTATAACTAACACTGTTTTTAAAAGATTATAAAGATTAGACTGAAAGAAAGTATCATGCTATTACCACTGAATGTTTTAGATAGGATTATTTTCTTTATGCTTTGCTGTATTTTCTCAAATAAGCATGTTTTACTTCTTATAAGTAAAAAGCTTTATATAGTATTTTAGAAAAGTATGTGAAAGCAGGTATATTTCTGGAAAGTTATCCTAATCCTTCTGAAATTCTAGTCCTGCTTTTTAACTTAAATGCAGATATAGAAATGTAGTTGAATTTCAAGGCTCATTTCTTTTGAAAGCTTTTGTTGTTTCTTGTCTTATATATTCTTATCCCTATGCCGTCAAACTTATTGGCTAAATTAAGTAAAATTCTTCGAGTAGAATTTTTTTTTCAGTTTAATTTAAAAAAATTAGCTGTGTAACCTTGGGCAGTACCCTCTCTGTGTCTTTGTTTCCTCATCAGAGATGATGGTAATGATAATAATAATAAATATTACTATTATTTTATTGGCATGTTACAAGGATTAAATGAGCTAATCCATGGAGGGCATTTAGAACAGCATGTGGCATATAGTAACTACTCAGTAAATGTTAGCTAGTATTATTTATCTAGAAGGTAACACATGATGCAGGGTGGAGAGGTAATCAAGAGTAAGTGATTTATAATTGGGAAAGTCAGTATGTTGCTTTACTATGCAGCTGAAAGCATGAGCTTTTTTTTTTTCTCTTTGGTGGTAAAACAAAGTAGTTTTCAAAAATTTCCAGCCTTTTAGTTGGAATGAAAACTCTTTTTTATTGCTAAATTCTAGTGATGTTTGCGCATTTTATAAAATTCAGTGTTTTGTATTTTTTCAAGAAGAGCGGTAACAGAATAATTAGGTCTCTGCTTTTCCCTTTGGTTTTCTTCAACATCCTACCTCCCACCCCACCCCACCCTTCTCCTCCTAAGCGGGCTCCACCATTCCATTCTGTTTGCATTTAGCCTTTATTGAGTAGTTCTCCTCTGTATGGGAATCTCATCTGTTTCACTGTGCTGCTTTTTGCTCCTCTCTGTTTTTCTTCCCTCTGCGAGTGTGTCTTGGCTTTTTATTCTCTCTGGCTCCTTTTCTTTGTCTCCCAGGATATCCTGCTGCCTGTTCTCTTTACCTGGCTTTGATATCAACATTGAATTTTTCTTATTACTGGTTACAGTTATTGACTCATTTCCGTGTTTCCCATTTTTAATTTTCAAAGTTGGTGTCTCTAAAATGAAATAGTTGTGGAGTTGTTTTGTTTGTCTTTAGACAGAGTCTCACTCTGTCGCCCAGGTTGGAGTACAGTGGCACGATCATAGCTCACTGTTGCCTTGAACTCCTGAACTGAAGTGATCCTCCTGCCTCAGCCTCCTGAATAGCTGAGACTATAGGGATGCACCATCTCACTGGCCTATTTTTAAAATTTTCTTGTGGAGATGTTGCCCAGGCTGGTCTCGAACTCCTGGCCTCAAGCAGTCCTCCTGCCATGGCCTCCCAGAGTGCTGGGGTTACAGGTGTGAGCCACAGTGCCTGGCCCTAGTTGTAGTTTTGGACCTATGTGGTCTCTGATTTTTATTGGTGATCTTGATAGGGAAAAAAAGTCTCCAACCCTGGTATAAGGTTGGACTGCATGGTGGTGTGGCCTAAGATTTAATCTGGAAGGCTCTTTCTATTGTGTTAAAACAGATTTCTAACAGCTTCTTTTCCCCCCCTAGTTTGTCTCCCCTCTTGAAGTTTTAACCTAATAACTGCTGTGGTAGATTTAAGTTTTAAGCAAGCTAACTCTCTGTAGTGTTGAGATTTTGATCCAGTTTTAAAGACGCACCTCATCTCCCTTTAAATTATAGCCTGCACTGAAATATGTCAGATATACAAATTATTCAATCTGGTAGCTCTCTAAATGGTCAAATGTTCACTTGGCCTTTTAATTCGATATTACAGGTAACATTCAGATATCCTGGATTGATGACACATCAGCGTTTGTTTCTCTCAGCCAGCCAGAACAAGTACAGATTGGTAAGCGTTTCAGACATCTGTTTTGAATATAAAATAAAGTGGGAGCTTGCCCTCCCTCTACGCCCTTCAGTTTAAAAGCTGTGCATTTAGTCGGCTCGTACACAAGCATTGCTGCCTGGTTTATGTTTGAGCTTGTCTCCGAAATAAAGGAAATAATTAGTATCATGTATAGATGTAATTAGTATCATGTATAGATGAGAAAATGAGACCAATCTTTTGATTGATAAAGTATCCTACATGGTGTATTTTTCCACTTACCTCTATTCTGTTCCTTTCCCATTGTACCTTTTCTCAAATGAGATGCAGATTTCCTCTGAGAATTAGAAGTACCTGTAGTCAATTGAGGGGCGTGGGGAACACCAAAAATTGATACCTACATTGACCTGTTCGTCTCTGTGCTTTTACCATTTATTTATAAATGTTTATGATTTATTTACTCCATTAAACTTGTGTCAGATACTCGTTTTACAAATAAATGAATGGTATTTTATTTGCTTTTAAAATAGGGTTCTAAAAAATGGAGCACCAAATCTTTTGTTGTACGCTAAGTAATTTTGATATTAGCCATCACTAAACATTCTATTTTCTTTTTTTTTGAGACAGAGTCTCCTCTCTTGCCTGGGCTAGAGTGCCGTGGCTTCAGCCTAGCTCACAGCAACCTCAAACTCCTGGGCTCAAGCAATCCTCCTGCCTCAGCCTCCCAGGTAGCTGGGACTACAGGCACACGCCACCATGCCCAGCTAATTTTTTCTATTTTTAGTTGTTTGGCCAATTTCTTTCTATTTTTAGTAGAGACAGAGTCTCGCTCTTGCTCAGGTTGGTCTTGAACTCCTGAGCTCAATTGATCCGCCCGCCTTGGCCTCCCAGAGTGCTAGGATTACAGGCGTGAGCCACCATGCCCAGCCAATTTTCTTAAGTTGAAAAGTTATTGGGTAAAATATTGAAGAAAATATGTATTAAGCTACATATTCAGTGGTGCTTAATAATGGAAAAGGTGTGAAAAAATAAGGTGTCTAATTGTTTTTTTTTATTTAACAAAGTGCCACACACTAAAACTGTATAATTCTGATAATGTAACCATTGAGTAATTATATATGAAAACTTCTGAAAACATAACAAATTCAGATCAGAGTATTTTGGTATTTTTAATTATCTGACCATGGCAGCAATACTCAGAGGCTGTGTCATAAAGGGTAAAAGCTTAGGCTCTTGGAATCATACCGCCACACCACCTATGGTTCTGTGACTGTGGGCATGTTATTTAACCTCAGTAAGCTTCTGTGTATCTTTGTAAACTGTGGATACTAGTATGGACTTGTTAGGGTTACTGTGAGAATTACATAAGATTATGTATATAAACTGTGGCATAGCTTTTAGCTTTTATTATTGTTATTTAATAGCAGATTTCAGTGTGAAATGTACTTCAGGAGCACATGACACCAGGGTAGTGTCGGATGCAGGGTGCGAATGATGTTGCTTATTAAATATTTTAATTTTTGCTTAGTGTTTTTTTTTTTTAATCCATTCCCCCATAATGCTTAGAAAGACATTTTAGAGAAAATCCAAAGGGATCGAATTGTTAGAAAGCCAAATATGACTTTAAGTGGGGACAGGAACCCTGAGGTTGAGATTATAGTGAGGCTTCAGTGTGGCTGAAAGACTGAACTAAAACTCCTGGCTGGCAGTCTAGTCCCATCTCCTCTGCTCAGGGTCCACTTTTTAGCTCCCTCACTGGTCATATTTGGGTGACACTGAAGCCAGGCTGTGGGATGGAAGGAGATGCACAGACTGACACGGGAACTAACTTTAGCTCTACCACTTGTCAGCCATGTGTCTTTGAGAACATTGTGTAAACCCTCTAAGCCGCAGGTTCCTCGTTTGTGAGAGGGAGAGGATAGTGGTTACTTTGCAGGATTGTCATAAGATGAAATGAGATCATGGGTATTAAGTTTCCAGCAAAGAGCCTGGCACTCCATAATCAGTGCTTGACAAATGGTAGCTAATTATTAAAATGTCTGTTTGGCCTCTCTTGCTGTGAACAATGAGAAAGAGTGTGGGCTGGGCAAGAAGGCTCATGCCCATAATCCTAGCACTTCGGGAGGCTGAGGCAGGAGGATCGCTTGAGGTCAGGAGTTCGAGACCAGCCTGAGCAACATAGGGAGAGCCCCATCTCTACTGCCAAAAAAAAAAGAAAGAAAAATTAGTGCGTGTAAAAATGCTTTGAAATCTGTAAAACACCAGTTAATAGTATTTATTTGAAAATACAAGCTTAATTCCTTGTTTATGTGTATGAGATGTCAAAGATTGTTGTGATGGTCCTGTTATACCATATTTGATGTCAAATAGTGATTGCTCCCTTACTTATTACTGGAAGATTCTTCAAACAGTAGCTTTTAAGCCAAGTATCTTATTCAATGATAACTGAAATCAAGGAGCTACATTTCAGAATCATGTGTAGCCACAGAAGCACTCTACTGTATTTGATCGTTTACTCCTTTGTGTTGCTCCCCGAAGGCAGTATTAGGTTTATCTTGTTCACCACTGAATCCTCTCTCGTGCCCAGCACACACCGTGGCATGAGGAAATAAATATGTGTTTAGATGGGGATTGTGGGGAATAGGCCAAGGTGAAATTGTGATCTTTTACCTTTTTCTTCCTAGATTAAGAAGTAGATGACTGTTGTCTTTTGGTATATGCAGCTTTGCTAGTAAAGTTTAATTTTCCACCGTAGTCATTTTTCTTACATGAAAGGTAACTCTTAAAACACCTGGCAATTGGAACATGCAGTGGCTCTGACCGTAGTTTCCTGTGCCAGAAGCCGTCCTTTACTCCGCCATCCCCTCCCTCCAGAATCTGGCTACTCCCGATTTCCCACCTCATCTCAGCTTAAATATCAGTTTCTGGATGTTTTCTCTGGCTCCCTTTGTAGGAGATTGGACCTGGTTTTCTGTGCTTGCATAGGATCCTTTATACTTCGTTTATTGTTTTCACAGATAGACTGTAGACTCTTTGAGAGTAGGGACCATATCTCTTGTTCACCATTGTATTTCAGTGCATAGAGTGGTACTATCTGATATTAGTAAGTAAAAGTTGAGTATTTATTGAATCAAATAAATGATATTCATCATGTTGACTTAGAAATGTCTTTTTGCATGTGATGGATGAATCTAATGTCTCTGGTCTTTTGCCGTGATTTCTAAAATTATTCAGATGTTTTGCTGAAAGGCAATGTGAAGTTTTTTTTATAGTGGTAATTCTTAATGATAAGAAGGACCCAGGGTATCTAATGTGCTTCAAATCCTATTAATGTTATCTTAAACAAATTACTTATTCATTTCAGCGGAAACAGAGGGCCTGTTAGATCAATAATGTAACATTGAAAAAATCATTAAATGCCTATTTATATAGCAGCTCATAATGGCTTCTTTGGCTCCATTACAGACTTTCCGATTTACATTTAAGGAGTTGCTTTTTAACTGACACCTGTTTTTTTCCTTTAGTAACACTAATTCTGAGCAAGATTTTTTTAAAGCTTTTTTCAACATGTTAATATGAAAGTTCTCTTTTTACAGAAAACCTTATACTAACTATTAAAATCCTTCTGGCCAGGTGCAGTGGCTCTTGCCTGAAATCCTAGCAATTTGGGAGACCAAGACAGGAGGATAACTTGAGCCTACGAGTTCGAGATCAGCTTGGGCAATAGTGAGACCCCGTTTCTACAAAAAAAAAAATATTAGCTGAGCGTGGTGTCACATGCCTGTTGTCCCAGCTACTCGGGAGGCTAAAGCAGGAGGACTGCTTGAGCCCAGGAGTTGGAGGTTGCAGTGAGCAATGATGACACCACTGCACTCTAGCTGGGGTGACAGAATGAGACCCTGCCTCAAACAAACAAACAAACAAACAAAAACCAAAAACATAAAACCCTTCTACTGAATGCCATTTGGTTTGATTTCTGCTGCATTTTGTTTGCTGTGAAGATGGGGATCCCTGGCGGCTTTGGGGTGTTCAGATGACTCATGCAAGCCGTACATTTAGCATTCTTGACCCTCTGGCTCTTCAGATGAGGCAGTATGTGGCTGGGGTGAGACTTGATGCCGTGGAGGAGACCACTTATTCTCACCGTTTGAGAATTGTTCTCAGAGTGGTCGAGTAAGAAATCATCTTTAATGGTCAAATCTGTCTAAGTGCAGCCAGAGGTAGGTGAAAAAAATAAATAATGGTCAAATCTGAATACTTCATTCATAGTTAGGATTTTTATATTTCCAATGTTTTGTTAAATGGAAGAAAGAACTCAATGATGTTTCAAATGTAGTAGAACTTTCTAGCCATACTTTCTCAATATTTAAACGTTATCTTGAGTGTCCTAAAATATATTGTAGGACATTGTCTCTCTGCCTGTAATTTTTATAGAAATAGCCTGAAAAAAATAGCCTTTTCACTTATTTTGAAAGCTGGAGATTAAAGTACACTGTGAACAGCATAAGGGGTTTTTCAAAAGCAGAAATTGGTAAAGGGACTTTAGAGGGGGTAGAAACCCAAGAATCATTTTGTGAAGCCAGCCCAGATTCACATAGTTGTATAAATTCCTGATATGCTGCCTCAGAAGCTTGTTCAGGATGATTTGTTGGGATGTGGGAAGATACTTGGCTTTGCCTCAGTGCAAAATGTAAATATGCTTATATTAAATCATATTTTTAAAAGCACAGCTTTTGATTATGCTGAACAGATAAATATTAGAATTGTGGATACAACTCTTTGGACGTGATCATTCAGCACTGAATTTGCTAAAAGGCTGCTTCTAACTCTGAACTTTACCTGTGCTTTTTATTATCCTTTTGATATTTGCAGACTCTGTAGTGATAACTGCTTTTTATTTTATTTTTATTTGGTCATTTGTGTCTTGTTTCTTTGTGATCATTGTAGCTAGAGATTACCAATTTAGTTGACCTTTCCAAAGAACCAGCTTTTGGCTTAGTTCATTTTTCTGTATTATTGCTGTT